GCATTTGTCCCAATTATTTCAGGCTGGCTGCGTGGATCCATTTCCTCTAGTTGGGTCTATTCAGTCATATCTTCAGTCAAGTTATAGATATACTTGTGATAGATATACATGTCATTTTTTATCACTTTTAACCCAAGCAATCATTCCTCTATTTCCTTTAGCACCCTGCATATGGATCAAATCACTCCTACCTTTAGTGTTAATTAGTCTATGATGCACATGGCCATATGGCCCATACCATCTCTCTCTCCCTCTCTCTCACACACACACACACCCACAAAAGGGCAAAGTCTGTACGAAAACTATAAGTTGTCAGAAAGGCTCAACACAAAAAATTGAGCTCTCCTATAAAATCTACAAGCAAAAGAGGATTAGAAAAGAAAAAGCTTTTACACCGTTGTTGAAAAGTATGCAACAAACACATTGAGCCTATGTATCCCCAAATCTGTGTCTTCAAATGTTCATCTATTCTTTTCTCTTCACAAGCAACCACATGACACATAACGGTGCCACTCAAGATTTTCTTTTCCTCTTCTATCTATAACCACTACCCCAACACGTTAGAAACTTCAAAATGTGTTGCAGGAATCACCCAGCAGGCCTAAAACATCGAGAAAATAAATTTCATAGTTCTTGGTAACCTCACGATGATGCAACAAGTGGTGCACTTGTCCTCCACCCTGTCTTCAATTGATGTCTGTTCTAACTTCTTCCTAATGGCTTCATTCTTTATATTATATATTCTTGTAACACAGTTCGTCCATTTTAATATTCTCATTTCCATACACTCATTTTGTTAGCATGTGTTTTCTTAACCGCCCAACATTGAATAGCAGGTCTTAGAGTAGTCCTACATTTTTTTCCCTTCAACTTAACAAAAGACCTATATTCACACAACACTCTTAATGCACTCCTATATTTCATGTATCCCGCCCAAAATCTATAGGCCTAAGAAGCACAAACACTTCTAAGAAGGTAGCATGTCGTATCCGACTTTGTGTTGGACACTGACACAACACTCGTCGGAAACACTTTGATACACATAAAATACATTACAAGTTTGAATAAAATAATTTGGAATTCAAAGATAAAACAAAAACATGTAAAATTTTACCTATTCTCCTCCTTTAGACTTAAAAAATTATGTACTTTGACTAAAATATATATATATATATATAATATAAAATTATATATCTTGCATGTGTTACTTCATGATTTGCTCTTTGTTAATTTCATTCTTAGTTCTTTTTTCGTTCTTGAGAGTAAATTTTATTTATTTATTTATTTTTTATGTTGGTAATAAGTTCATGCAGAAACTATTATATGTTTACAGTCTAGTACTTAGTGTTCAAATATACTAGGATCTACTTATCCTCTGTGTTGGCATTTTTTTTTTTATGCAGATTAAGGTCCAGATTGGGTTCCATTTGTTAATCAATTATATGTCCATCAAATCAATCTTGGAGAAATCAAGTTTTCGAATATGTACCGGTTCCCTTCTTTTATAATTAAAACTTTATCAGCTGACCAAGCCAATTTGATGCAGGCCATAAGATCAAGAAAAAGTAAAATTAAAGTGGCAATAAAGTTTGGAAATTGCTTGGTTTCAAGTTGCACTTACTGGGCATCAATTGGAACCGTGTATAATTAAGTTTTTAGATGAGTCACATTTTACAATTATTTAGGTTGTGTTTAAACCTTGTTTGTTTTTTACATGTTTTCTAGTGCTTTGTAAGTTTGGGATATTTTGGTAATTTCAGGAATTTCTGAGCATGGCTACCCATGGGTTGAGTTATGTATTTGGGGTTTTTATTTATTGGTCTTATTTGGTTTTAAAAGTTAGAAGTCTAGTTTCCTATTTAGGAATCCTAATCCTAGTTGGTGTAGGAAGTTTCCAAAATCTGTATAAGCTAATGTAATGTCTCTAATTCAATAGAGTTCAGCTTAAAGAATTTATTCAGAGCTTTTAAAGCTCCCTCGGAATTGTTCATGGGTATTATTCAGTGCTGAGGACTCCTCCAGATTTGGTCCCTTTTTCCAATTTGATTCAGCTCTAACCCTACACCATTCCATACACTATTAGAAGTCCTAAATTTCCCACCATTTATTAAATTAAACAACAAAAGCCAACAAATTTCATCCTTTAAATACCACACGCACTGTCCTACAGAAATTTGGTATTAGAGCTTAAGTTTTCGGCACTATGTTCTCATAAAGTAGGTGGTCTTTTGTACTACAACATTTCATGGTAGGTTGTGCTAGAGAATTTTGGAGAAGAGACCACATCTCATGCACTATAAGAGAGAAGTTTCAGACTTTAAAGGAAGTGGTCATCGTATAGCTACGAAGCACAGACACAGATACGGACATGGATGCGGATATGGGACATGGCGATTTCAAAAAAATGGGGACAGGGACACGGCAATAAAATATGTTTTCATGGTTTGACCATTTTGACAAATTAAACCTTAAGTTTTTAATTTTATCAATTTAAACCCCAAACTTTTTATTTGTTTTCAATATAAACCATTTTTCTATTTCCGTTAAGTAAAATCAATCGAAAAATTAGTATTTAAGTCATTAAACTCAATGAAAAATGATATTTTAGATATTTTATTTATACTTACATTGAGTTTAATAACTAGAATACTCTAACAAAAATAGGCAAATGGTTTAGATTGAAAGCAAATCAAAAGATTGGGGTTAAATTGACAAAATTAAAAATTCAGGGTTTATTTTGTTACAAAACTCAACCCTAGGCTTTTTGTTTTTTTGGTAATTATCCCTTAATTAAATAAGGAGACACGCCATGTGGTGTGTCCCACACGTCCTCGAAGTATCTGCATGTCTCCGAAGTGTCTGTGTGTCTGACACGGATAGGGCACTTGTTTTGAAGTGTTGATGCTTTATAGTTGTGGGGATGTATTTTCAGGATACCAACACGTGGATTTGTATGTAGGGATGAAGTTTAGTAATACTGGGGCTTTTCGTTTATGGATTGGGAGGCCAAGAAGTGTTTTCAGAAAACCCCAAACTTTTTATTTGTTTTCAATATAAACCATTTTTCTATTTCCGTTAAGTAAAATCAATCGAAAAATTAGTATTTAAGTCATTAAACTCAATGAAAAATGATATTTTAGATATTTTATTTATACTTACATTGAGTTTAATAACTAGAATACTCTAACAAAAATAGGCAAATGGTTTAGATTGAAAGCAAATCAAAAGATTGGGGTTAAATTGACAAAATTAAAAATTCAGGGTTTATTTTGTTACAAAACTCAACCCTAGGCTTTTTGTTTTTTTGGTAATTATCCCTTAATTAAATAAGGAGACACGCCATGTGGTGTGTCCCACACGTGTCCTCGAAGTATCCGCATGTCTCCGAAGTGTCTGTGTGTCCGACACGAATAGGGCACTTGTTTTGAAGTGTTGATGCTTTATAGTCATATAGTGTTCTTTAATTGTCTTTCTTTGATTGAGGAATTTCGATTGGCATGATTGGAAATTGGAAGGATGATCGGAAAGTGAGATTTGTTGAGTTGAAACTTGTAGGTTTGGCACAAATATGTTGGTAATTTGTATGGTATTGTAGGAGATATAAGAAGATTGGAATTGCCATCATTAAGCACATAGTAAGAGATGAAATCTAAGCTTTGTGAAAAGCACATGGTTTCAAATAATCATGAAAATTCATGAGAACAATTTGTTAATTCAAGACATAGAAGAATATTGTTTGCTGAGTATGGGCAAAGATTTAAGGTGTCTAAAACTTGAAGCAAATTTGTGGAAGAACCCCCCTCCCCTGCCAAACATGGACTGGATTTAGAGCTAGTTTGAGGTTTATAATCGACACAACAGCCACTCTACTCTGTTGTGTGGGGCATGCACAAGAAGTCACACTAAAGCTGAATATTGTTGTTGAAGAAAAAAAATCCTACACAATTAAAGTTACGACTTACAAATGAAGTACGAAATCTACCTAAGGCGAAAGATGACCACATTATATTAAAGGAGAGAAGGCTCCCCATGTTGTTCTTGAAGAGGGCTAGAGTTGAAACCAAAGCATCCAATGATCCTTATGTTAATAACCAACAAAACTAAAGAATCAATTGCTGGTATTGGAGCCAATATCAGTTGTTTTGAGTTCTATAATTTAGCCAAGAGAGTTATCTAATGAACCTCCTACTATGCATAGCATCCAACAAGCAACAACCCTTGTAGAAGGGTTGCAATTAGCTAACTCTTCTGCAGATTCTATAGATTCAAGCAAGCTTGGCAGACCAAAAAAACTACTGGATCTTGATATTTTTAAGATGCCCAAATTGCAAAGGAAGCTACTAAAGTGGAAGAAATTATAGAAATGGCACCAAATAATCTTCCTTCAATTGGGAAATTTCAAAACGAGCTTCAAAAACATAATTACTGTTCATAGTGCCTATAACAGGCCCCAAACCTTGTGCTTTTATTCTAAAACCCATACCCATTTGTGACTCTAATACAAACCTTTAAAACTCATGTTCTTATTACTTTGTCAACCACAAAACCCAACTAAATCCAACCCCCCAACCAACTTTTTGTGCTAACGAACATTAATTTTGGGCTCACTATTAGTAGGAGAGTGTTCACCGCACTTGTCTTACAATTATATCCAAATTTCTTAAACAGGAAAGCTGACCCGTGGGTGATCACTCTCATGTGAGATAAATGGTGATATTGTCCATTATGTGTTAAGAGCATTTATTACCGTTCTAATATTTTTCTTCTTGGGTGACCACTCTGATGTAAGATAGATGGTGATATAGTCCATTATGTGTTAAGGATATTTAGTACCGACTACCTCTATATATATATTTTTTTCCCTTTTTGACATGAGTGTGCATGCAAGTGTGGAAAAGAAGCAAGCTGTGAGTTTCTTTATTTTTTTATTGACCTTCCCTTAGTATTATCAAGAAAAAAATAAAAATAAAAATTGACCAGCCCTTGATTTTCTGTTGCAGCTGAAGTATATTCAAGCTCTGATTGAGAAAGCAAAAAATTGTGAGTGAGAACATGAGGTAATATATGAGAGAAAACTTGCTAAAGAGAGAAGCAAAGATGACCGCCTCTTTGCAGACAAGGGCAAGTTTGTCACTAGTGCTTACAAAAAGAAACTTGCAGATCATGCTCAGTGGATGGAGGAAGAATGTCAGTGTCAACTTCAAGAAGAGAGAGGATGTATGTATAGCTTTTTGTTTGGTCTTTCTGTGATCTAACTTGCAGTTATTTTGCTGATTAACACGAAACATGATCTTTTGCATGTTTTCATACCTGGTTGAGTATGTTATCCTGTGGTAAATTTAATTTTGTTTAGATCTGTTTATGTACGGATTGGTTATCTAGTATTTATCAGTTGGTCTTTTTTTCTCTTGGTACTTGTCTTTGGTGTCTGACATGTACTGTGTTATTGCTTAGCAACATTACATGAACATGTGAGAGTAAGGAATACATTTTTTATTGGAAATTTGATTATCTGGGCTGAACGTTTCAATACTGGATGAAATTCTAAGTACTTGAGCTTGCTGCTTGTAATGGAAGTTTTTCCATGAATTGAAGGTTCTACAGTCATTGGAGTCTATCTTCATTTGTTTTTTATGACACTAAATGTGGAGAAAGGAAGATTCAAACTGCAAATTTGGGTTGCTTTCACAAAGGTTTAAATATCATTTTAGAGCAATGATATGTTAATAATGTGTGTTTGGAACTTAGAATGGACTTCACTATTTGTCCACTGGGTTGAGAAGTAGAAAATTTTACATTTTACCTGGTGTAACAGGTTTTGGCTGAACTTGTTTTCTATTATTACTACAAAAGAACACACTTTCTCGATTTGAAATTGTGTACTTTTAGATTGGCATATTATATATAGGGCAAAATTCACTTTTTACACATTGTGGTTTAACGTTTTTAGATTGGCATATTATATATAGGGCAAAATTCACTTTACACCTTGTGGTTTAACGTTGGAGTACTTTACCTTCTTATGGTTCAAATATAAGCACAATACTCCAATATGGTTTTGGATTATATTGCAACTCTAACTCTGTTAACGGCAAATACGAAATGACCTTAATACCCGTTGACTTTTGCCTTAGTTTTGGTTCTTTTATTTTATTTCTATTTTATTATATATGTAATTTCTAAATTAAACAATTTCCATAAGGAAAAAAAAAATCAATTAAATAAAAAATTTACCCCAATTAATTCAATTAAAAACAAAATAAAAAAAATCAATTAAATAAAAAACAACCCTAATTAATTCAATTAAAAACAAAATCAATTCAATTAAATCACCTAATTTTAATTTAATTGTATTTTACACAAACTGGTATATATATAAATACAAACATACACAATATATAGTATATATAACAGCAAATTGCCTGAGGATGATGAATCATTTGATGAATCTGAATAACCAATAGTGGGTGGTCTTCATAGGTTCTGAAGATTCAATAGTTGGTTATCAAGAACTTGCGAAATCGTTCCTAACTAGAGGAGGACCGTGGCAACGATCGGGAAAGGGAAAGGGGCAGTGGCTGTGGTTTGAGATGCAGTGATGTAGATCTCGGATGGGAGGAGGGACATGAATGATGAGATGGGAGGGAAGGGGAGAGGATGTCATAGGAGATGGTTGAGAGAAGGATGGGGCGGCGGGAGTGGCTTGGAGAGGATGAGGAAGGAGACAATGAAGATGGGTTTCAAATTGATTGAAGAAGAGACAATGAAGATGAAGGGCACAATTGTCATTTAACATTTCATTTTATATTTGATTTTATTTTTCTTCATTGGCAACTCATTATTTGGGCATGTATGGAACACTTTCCGTCATTTTGGACAGACTTAATAACGGTAAGGGGGTAAAGTGTAAAATAATCCCACAAGGAGGCTTATTGATGATTTTAAAATGATAGGGAGGTAAAGTGCTTTAGAGTCAAACCACTGGGGGTTAAAATGAATTTTGCCCTTACATAAATTCAAGTAGCACGTACACACCTTAGGGTAAAGTCTTTTGCTCATGCTGAGCATGGTTCTGATGTGTTCACTAATTCAAAATATATAAAAGTTAGAACAGGGTGCTGTGGTTTCTTCCCCTTGTTCTAAACTTATAGATATCATGCTTCCTTTTTCATTAATGTCAGAAAATAGTTAAGAAAAGGGCGTACCCAGTGCACGAAACTCCCGCTTAAGCGGGATTTGGAGAAGAGTTGATGTACATAGCCCTACCCTGCAAGCAGAGGCTGTTTCTGAGGGGTAGCTTTACCGCTACACCAGGTCCGCCCTTCTAATGTTAGAAAATAGTTACCCCTAAGAATTAATTTAAAATTGTATGAAAATATAGATGTGAATAGTTTGGTTTTTACAAGTATTTCCATGGTGGAACAAGATACAAATGTTTTTTTATGTCTTCAAAATTATAGTAAATTGCAATTTTCCTTTTCCATTTCCATGCTGAATTTCTTCAGTCTTGTAAGTCTTCTGCTCTGGATCTTCACACACGCACACACACAAACACAAACACACACATGTTCATCATATATGTAGGTTCCTCCGTTTGTTGCTTTAATATGTCTGTTTATGAACCAATATCAATTTCAAGAAATTTATTAGGATGCTATGGAGGTGATGGTCTTGAGATTTACAATTCCAGTTTCAACAGAATACTATAAAGATTATTGATTTTGTGTCATATGCAGTTATCATTGATGGTCAATGATGGAGTTTGTTATTCTCTTTTCGAGTTGAAATGTTAACAAAGCAACGTAGCTGAAAACAGTCACCGATGCTTGTTAAATTATTACCAATGTAGAATGAAATGGGGGAAAAAAACTAAATAGAGTGAGAGAGAAAGAGAGGGGGTGGCTTATTTTGTGTGAAGGTATTACTATTTTCTTGGAAGATCTTTAGGATTCTTGTTCCTATACAGTTGTCTTGGTCACTTCTATGTGACTTCTATAGACATGGAGGTTTTCATTTAGGCTATGTTTGTTTCAACGTAAAATATTTTACACAAAATATATTTTTCTTATAAATTGATTTTACACAGTTTTTTTTTGTTTGTTTTTGTTTTTGTTTTTGTTTTGCCTTGTTTGGTTAACACTTGAAATAAAAATATTTTATTGTCCAATAGATAAATTTTGATTCAATAAAGTGTCTTTTATGACTTTTTAGTTTGCTAAGATATTTATTTGAAAACACTAAATATGTCGAAAAAGTAGTAAGTGAGAGTTAACTTTGTAAAAATTGACTTATGAAGTTATTAAAGGTAAGTCATTTTTGAAAAAATAATGCAAAATATTTTACATCGAAACAAATGGAGCTTTAGTCCACATTCTTCCCTTCAAAGTTCTTGGTAATCTTCGTGAGAGAACTAAGTTCTCCTGGTAATCTCAGTATTTAAAATCAATAGCAAGTGAGAGTAAGGATTGGTTCCTTGAATAAACTCTTTTCATATAGATTTAGGCATGTACACCCATCTATGGCTTGGTGTTGAGGGTTGTGTTCATGTGGACTTTTGGTTGTGGCCTGATAGTGGGGATAGCGGATTTGAAGAGTTTCAAGGAAAGATCGGAACAGACGGACTGAAAATCAGAACTACGAAACTGCTCATGAATTTGAGTAAGTGGGATCTTTGTTTGGGTATTGTGTACTGGTAAACTTGATTTGTTAGCTAGTGGATTGAGTGGAATTTTTACCTTCACAGTTTGAAGTGTTTTTTACTTTCTAATTTTCTATCTTCTATGTGTGTGATAGTAGTTATATTACACTATGGATGAATTCTGGATTCCCCTACTCATTGAAAGTATTTTTTTTTTTTTGAATCAGCAAAGAAACAGGACTTTATTGATGAAAACAACATGCAAACCATATGAGTTTACATCAATAAAGGGAAGGAAAGTGTAAAGAGCATCAAAGTAACACTACATGATCCCGACTAAGTTGACACTGAGAAGCATACCTAATCATATGCTAGCATAAGCCTCAAAGGTTGGTGAGAAGCCAACAAACCAAAAAAAAAAAAAAAAAAAAAAAAAAAAAAAAAAAAAAAAAAAGATAAACACCAAACAAAACAAACAATAAACAAAAACCAAGGCCGACATGCCCAAAACAAACAATGCTAAAAAACCAGCTCATTCAAAGCAATCAATGCACCCCCAGATGTGGAGCAAACAATTCAATCCGGAGCAATCTATGTAATCAGAGCAGCCTTTAGGGACAAGAGCATCCTTTAGCAATCTATAACCTAATGCACCTTCTAACCTGCAAAATACCAGCAGCCACAACCACTAGTCACACCCAAACTGTAACCCTTACCCTGAATTCCTTCATATACATAATGAGAGATCATGCCTGCAATAAGGAATACTGCTCCTGGATGCCGTTGCCGTCCTTAACTCTGGTTTGACGCTCAACCCGGTGCTTGATTAAGTCAACCAACTCTCCCCAATCTGGCTGTACATTTTGAAATACATATTTGTTCCTTAAACCCCATACTGACCAGATAACTGCGAACGGAATTACTTCCCACAACACCTTCTTTGCTTTTTTGTATTTCCAGCTTTGCCACCATTCCACAAAGCTTGGACTGACCCTGGAACCACCCAAGTCATTCCCCACCATTGAAGAGTTTCAGTCCATACCCTTCATACCTTCGAGCACCATAACAGGACATGCTCCACTGATTTAGCCTCAGTGCCACAGAATCTGCAAAACCCATCCCCCTGATTAGAGATGATCCCCATTCTTAATAATCAATCTGCTAATTTGATTCTCCTACACCAAGCTACCCATCCAAAGACCTTCACTTTTGGGTGGGCTACATTAACCCAAACAAATTTTAATGCTTTCACCCTTGATCTCACTGATGCTTCAAAACCTTTATAAAGCGTTTTAACAGAGAATGAACCCGTGGCCTCCAGCTTCCACAAAATCTCATCAGGTTCAGCCAATCTTGTGACCACTGCTGCATCAAGTAGCAGCTGAATTCTAGAAACCTCCTCTTCCTCCCACACAAAGTCCTTATAAAGACTAACTTCCAGGAAATCACTCCATTTACTACTTCCATAAAATCTGCCACAACTCCATCCTTATTGATACTCAAAATAGTATAACCTAGGAAAGAGTATCCGTAAAGCTTCACCACCTCTTACCCACCTATCCTTCCAGAATGCCAATGTATACCCATCACCCAATTTGTAGTAAATATTTCCCTAAAAACAAAGAACATAAACACACTATTTCCCTCCATAGCCCTGAACGTGACCTCATTATTGGTAAATGAGGTAGCCAACACTTTTCCTATATACCACAGATTTCGCATATCAATTCCCTCCACATTCTCTCCTTCTCCACACCAAACCTCCACCACCATGTTAAAAGTAACGAATCATTCATCTCACAAACCCCCAAGTTCCTTCTCCATAGTTACTTTCTCCCATTTTACCAAATGAAGCTTCTTAACCAACTCACCATCACCCCATAAATATCTGCTTTGAATCTTGTCAATTTCTTTCTCCGCCGAAACAGGTAATCAGAAAAGTGAAAGGTAATAGATTTGTAAACTTTGCAATCCTTCCCGCGAATGATAGAAATTTCTCTTCCATGGTACAAGTTTTTTTTGGAACTTATCGAGCACCGGCTTCTATGTTGATTTCAGTCTTGGATTCGCACCAAGTGGTAACCCAAGATAATTCATAGGGAGTGATAGAGTTTTACACCTCAGTGCAGAAGCTAACTCTCAATGCATATTATCATCTACCCCTACCCCGCTTACTTTGCTCTTATGAAAATTAATTTTAAAACCAGACATTAGTTCAATGCATCTCAATACCCTTTTAACATTCATCAGCTCCGACCTACATTACATGGACTCTTCAGAATCTTGATAAACTCATATTTTTGCACAATCTTGTTAAACTCTAGCTAAATCTCCAAGTTCTCCTTCAAGATCTTAATTTCTTTCTCTAATGAGAGTTCACTCTCTCTCTAAAATCTATTCTTAGATTTTTGCACTCAAATGAAGAAGCATGAGCTTAAAACACATATATATAGTTAGGATTAGCTTAATACATTAATTAGAACATTAGACTTATTAAACACAACTTAATTAATCAAACTGAATCAGATTTTAATCTAACTTTCCAAATGATTCTTAAAATTCCAATTAGTCTATTCATGTAGCTAATTTCGGTTTATGATATTATTTTAAGACATCAATTTTAAATTCTGAATAGAAATCATAACAGATAGTTTTCAAATCAAACAGATATACACAAATTAATCATAAGGCACATACCACAATTAAAAATTAACACATAATTAAATAAATGTAATTATGATATGCATGTTGGGGTTGTCACAAGTTCAGTCCAGTCGCTTCAACCTCTACAACCTCCTTACTTAATCTTTGGTATTCTCGTTTGAGTTGTGTATCTTTTAATTGTTTACGTTCCTTAGTTTCAAGTGGTCAGTTAGGGTCAATCAAAAGTGATGATGTCAATTGTTTAGCTTGTCAACTAGTCAAACAACCTGCATTGCTATTTCATAATAGTGATTTCGTTTTCTCTACTCCTTTTGATCGCATTTATTCTCCACTCCATGATTTGTTATATTTGTTGATGATTTCACTCATTATACTTGGCTCTATCTCTTGCGTAGTCGATCTGAGTTAGCACAAATTTACTACAATTTTGCTAGTATGGTTCAAACTCAGTCTTGTTCTGTCAGAATATTCCGCTATGATAATGCCAAAACTCATACTTAGGGTTTGGTTGATATTCTTGATGACAAAACCGCAGTTGGATGCAAGTGTGTCTATAAAATTAAAACTTGCTTTAATAGATCTATTGAGCAATATAAAGCTCATCATGTTGCTAAGGGCCTTACATAGGAGTATGGTGTTGGCTATGAGGAGAAATTTGCTCCTATTGCACATCTTACTTTGGTTTGTAGTCTTCTTGTTGTAGTTGTCATTCACAAGTGGCGATTATATCAAGTGGATGTAAAAAATGCATTAATTTATTAATGATAATCTTACAGAAGGTCTACATGCAACCTCTTCCAAGGTATGCCCATCGACCACATCAAGTCTATAAGCTTCGACGTGCTCAAGTTTATAAGCTTCGACGTGCTCTGTATAGTCCCAAACACCTTGAGCATGGCAAGTCCTTATGATTATATTCTTTTTGTTTGCAAGACTGAGCATGTTACCATTCTTCTATTTTAGGTGGATGATATAACTATTTACTGGGACTGCTGCTAGAATTTCCAGTTTTAGACAGTCTCTCAGCAATAAATTTGTGTTGGTGTATGTTGTATATTCTACAACATTTTAGATCATGAAAGTGGCCCCAAAGAAGGACACAACTCTCCTACTATGCCTTGACCCCAACATCTACTGATAGTGGGTGCTCTTTGTCTTTGGGTGCTATGTAGTTAGCAGCAAATTTCTCCAACTTCCATCATAATCCTTTTAATCACATACACACACAAACCCAAATAGAACAAAAACCTTATTCCAAACTTGTGAATTATCCTTACAGATCCATAGATTTACAGTCCAGTAGTGAAATTGAAACCACATTACCCCAAGTTTTTGCCAAAACCACAAGCAAAAACGAAGAAGATGAAATTTAAAATGATCTTGGTTTCATCACAATAGTTGAATGCTTCAAAATGTGCAAGCTGAACTGCCCTCCCTTCTCAGCAGTATCAATCTTCGACTGTCCAGGAGGCGGCAACAGCTCAAAATTCTGCACCAACCGCCCCAAAGTAATACCCAGAATCGGCAGAGCAAGTATAATCCCAGGGCAGCTCCTCCTACCAACACCGAATGGAAGGTACCGGAAGTCATTTCCATTGGCCTCAACCTTAGCCTCCTCTTCCAAGAACCTCTCGGGCCTAAACTCTTCTGGTTTCTTCCAGCTTTCTGGGTTGTTGGCGAGCCACCACGCGTTAACCAAGATTTTGCTCTCGGCCGGGATGTCATAGCTGCCGAGCTTGGCATCGTGGAGGTTCATGTGAGGGACTAGGAGAGGGATTGCCATGCGGAGGCGGAGAGTCTCTTTGACTACAGCTTGGAGGTATGGCAGCTTGTAGGTGTCCGGCTCGGTGATTTGGGTGCCAGGGCCGAGCACGGCATCGAGTTCTTGCCGGAGCTTTTTCTGGACTTGTGGGTGGTTGACGAGTTCTGCAATGCCCCATTCTATGGACCATAGTGTCGTTTCAATTGCTGTATCATGCAAGACATTTTGGCACATTAGTCTTGTAAGAAAAATGCTAAACATAGAGATTTTTTATACAAAAATGTCATACATAATGATGTAACAATGGCATTTATACAATTATAATTTATGATGATGTTTTTTTAATTTCCAATTAATGGTTTTAAATGAGCCATATCATTCCTCTTGAATAAAAGTGATAAACTAAAATAATTCAATTAGTTCACGATAGTAAATTAGTTCGTTAATAAAAATAAATCTTTTGTAATATTATACATCGTTTTTTTTTATCAATCTTTTTATTGTTAGATATAAAAATAATGATTCTCATTTGTATTAATGTAGGTTTATTATCTTTGTGCCTAGTTATTAAAAAATAAAAATAAAAAAATAGTCAAATGTGTGACATTTTCCTAAATTTGTTGGATAGTTAGGTGAGTTGGTTGACAACCCACTTTCAATGAATTCTTTTGGGTCCATTTTCAGTGATTAATTCGACAATCCTTTTTACCTAATCTAATTTGTTGACATATATGATGTGCCCACCAACCAACCATACTTTTTCGGCTTCAACTCATATTCACCCAGTTCAAAAAATATAAAATAAAATCATATTCATTCATTTTTTAAATTATGTTTTTAAAATTTTTATATTTTAAATTTTTTACATAATTCAACACTATAAATATATTAAAACAATGAAACAAAGAATTCTTAGACAGATGATATGATCCTTAATCCCTATTATCTCCACGATTTTATTCAAAATAAATGTTTCTTTTCATTCACAACTACACAATCAAAATATTTTATTAAAAATAAACTTTTTTTGATTATAAATGCATGGGACAATGAGACAAATGCTATTTTTCTAATGTAAAAAAATTCATTGATACTCCAATAGAGTGTAGAGAAGGGTGAATATTAAAGCAGTGTTTAAATCTTAAACGTGTGAGTATGATTTTAAATAATGATAATAATGGACAATATCAATTGATACATCGGCAATTGTTCTTTTGGTTCACCGTTGGATCCCACCAATACAATCCCCTATAGTTTTCGTTACTAAGATAACTTCCTTTGTTTTATTGAATAATAAAAAACCTATCACCCGTGCTATGCACGGAATAATTATAAATATTTATATTTATTTTAAATTTTTTTAATATGTAAATTATGTTTTTTAAGATTTTTTATAAAAATAATTTAACAATCTTATCACTAACCACACAAAGCAGAGATATTACCATAAGCGTACTGGAGAAAAAAATATGAATATATTCAAAACATTTTGTGCTCATGCTTATATTGCAAAGTAGAACCGATCATAAGATTCAAACAATAGAACATGTCTGAAATAAACCGATCATAAGATTCGACAATAGAGCATGTCTGAAATAAAACATATGTTTCACCACTGAGTGGGTAAGCCACAAATAAAGCACCGATGGACTCAACAATCACAACCAAAACCAAAGAAAATAGAAAAATAAAAGAAAAGCTAGGACCTCAGACCCAAGATCTGTGACAGATCTAGTGGAGGAGAGGTTGTAACGACTTCAGCATGATTCAGTGGAGGGAGTTGCAAATCTTAGTCCTAGCAAGCTAAGAAGGCGATGGATCTGATAGAGCTGGATGAGAAGAATCGTGGAGGCAACAGAGAGCACGATCTGGCAGTTCAGGTGAGGCCCTGGCTGAGGAAGTCAAGAAGGAGGGAAAAGTAGATATAGAGTAAAGATTCCACCATGAGAGGAAAGCACCTCACATGGAAAGAGAAGATGAGAAGACTAGACTCCCAAAGTTTATTGATCCAAACGGGACAAGGAAAATGGAAGAGAAAGAGGGGTAGAAGGGAGGAGAGAGGCGGCCGGAGGCCGAAGCCCCCCTCTCCCACCCTGAGCGGTGCCTTTAAGAGTAATCCTAGAAGAAGGAGAGAGAGCGGCTCTCCATTTTAGAGAGAGAAAGAGATTAGATATTATATCTAATCCTAATATAATAATGATCCTAATTTTTAATTACTAACCTTTTTCATGGGAGAATGGGAAATATATCCTTATAAGAAGCAACATCACATGATCACATATCTAATTAGTTAATTCTTAATACCTCCCAAAATGAATATTTGACAAATAAAGGGGGAAAAAAAAAATATAAGTTACAAAAAAAAATTCAAAAAAATTGTAACAATGACCTTTTTTTAATTATAAATCCCTATAACAAGTGTTTTGGGTACTACCGCATGATATTTCCAATCAATGAAAAGTTTTATGTGTATAAAATTTGATCACAAAGTCATATAACTTTTATGACATAATTATATGATTAAATTAATATTTAAAAAAAAATTAAATTTTTAGAATCGTATTAAATTATAACATCATATAGTTTCGTTAACTTGTAAAACAGGACAATCAAACGACATGACTCAATTGTAAACAGTTTGTTAGAGAAAGACACCCCAACCCCAACTACGCTCATCATCCACCTTATTTATATGCTTCAAATTCAATCCTAAGTTGAACAGTTTGACAAATTGACATGAAATTTTTAGAATTTCATCCTCATTTCATCATCCTAAGTCGGGAAGGGCAATATAGTCACATGATAATAAAGGGGTCGTTTGGAAACACTCACAAGAAGCTAATTTTTTATTTAAAAAATCACTGTATCAAATTCAATCCTAATTTTTTGATTTAAAAATTTTTTGTCATTAACTTAAAAAAATAAATTTATCAATTTTTTCACTTACAAAAATGTAATTTTTTTTAATAACTTTTTAAATTCATCAGCTTTTCTAGTTCTGTCAAATCCCCAAATCACCATGTGGCAATGATAATTTCGTAAATGAAACCTATTTTTATGATTATTGTGTTTTAAAATAAAAAGTTCATATGAACCACATCATTTTATATGAATCTTTTATTTACATATTATTAATCTTTTATTTTTATTTTTATTATTATTTTTTTTTACCAACAATCTTGGACCTATCTTAAAAGAATAAACTTTGAATACACATAATCACTTACCAACCACGTGCATCAGCTAAGCTAGGGCACATCACTAGCAAGATTATTCAAACAACAATGCTAGGTATCATGAAAAATCTTTCATGAAAATGATCATGAAAGATTTGTGACCTTTGGATTAGACTTAGAATAAAGCACCACACACTAATCAAGGTAATCTAAGGGTCACAAATCTTTCATGATCATTTTCATGAAAGACTTTTCATGATCCCTAACATTTCTCTTATTCAAAACGCCTAAATTCACAATTCAAATTTAGAAACATTTGACAACTGAACAAATCGTGTAAATTTATGATAAAAATTTTAGAAACACATCCAACACGTTTCACAATTATAAGAAGAGTCATTGTTAGTATATGTATTATATGTTAGTGCATATATATATTAGCTGTAAAACACCAACTAACTTTAATAATGTTGTTTCCTTAGTGTATACTTTCCCCTTTCGGTGGCCCTTTCCCCTTTCGGTGACCACTTTCCTTTTAGGCCATGATGTTGTTTTGTATAGTGTGTATACTACTTAGGCCATTTTCTCCTATATAAAGGAGACCGTGTATAACATTCAATACATCAATCATAATACATACAATTTATTCTCTCTCTATCAATTTATCTTACACTCTTCATTGGGACAAGCACAATCCACTTTATCATCTTCTGCATTGGTTTCTAGTAGTAGTAATCATGGGTCTACTCGCGGGGGTTTTCATGGTTCATCTGGTTCCCGGGGCTCTTATTCTGGTTCACGGGGCTCTCGTAGTGGTGGCTCGCGTGGTGGTTTCTGTGGTGGAGGTAGTAGTGGACCTAGTTCTCGTACACGTGGTGATCACAAGTGTACTCATTGTGATTCCCAAGGTCATACTGAATCTTGGTGTTGGCAGAAGTATGGCAAACCTGATCATGTCCATCAGGTTATGGATGTCCCATCCTTACAGTCTTCCTTGTTGTCCACTAGCTCGGATGTTTCTCTGGTTAATTCTCATAAGACACTCACTACTCAGATTAGTGAGCTTACTTTTCTTGTCCGGTCTCTCCGGCCTAGTCTACCTTCATCCTTTACTACTACCATGGCTAGTTCAGGTAATATTGCATGTGTGGCTAAGTCCTCTCAGCCTTGGCTCCTAGACTCTGGTGCTAGTTCTCATGTCTCTGGTAATTCCTCTCTTTTTGATACTCTTAGACCTGTTGATCATACCATTATACTTGCTGATGGATCTTTGGACTCTTTGGTTCAGACTAAGAACCGTGACAAATTTTAGAGTCCTGAGCTGTAG